AAGGCCGCCGGTGCGCGCTGCGCTCCCCGGCCTTCCCCCCAATAACCCGCCCCCGCTGCGGCTCTTCTTCCAGGGTTCCGCCCCCGGGAACAGCAAGAGTACCTGAAAGAGGTAACACACACGCGTCCACACACACGCACGTCCGCGTATGTCCCTTGGGCGCTCTGGGCAGGAGCTCCGGCGCCCTGGTGCCTGACGCCTGGGCTGAGAATCACTTCTGCTGCTGGCAAAGCAGGCACCAAGTTGGGGGGCGCTTTGGGCTTCTGCCACCCAACCCGGGGCTTCTCCTGCAGCTGGAGCTGTGGGCGGGCAGAGCGGGTCCTCACGGGTTGATGCTTCCTTTGCAGTTGTATGGCACTGCCAACAAGTACCACTTCCTGCACAGCCTGGCCCTCTTGGCCGTGCCCCATTGCCGATACCCCATGATGGTAGGTATTCTGGACCTCCGAGTCCCTTTGGGAGTGGGGCACGCCACCCGACTTCCTCCAGACACAGCACTGGCAACAGCGGGTGGCAAGTGGTGTCTCCCTTCGGAGGTGGCATGAAAGAGGGGCAGGGCGTCCTGCCTCTTTTGACCCCGCCCTGCTCTCCAGGGTTTCAGCCAGCTAATTCTTGGGGGAGGGGACATTCTGCTTTCTTCCCCTTTCTGAAAATCTGGGCCCTCTCCCAACGGGGTCAGATCCCTGGCCTGCAATGTGCTGCTTGTCCATGGGAAGCCTCTCCCTCCCTCCCCTGGCTGAACGTGAATCCTCTAGAGCTGTGTTTCTCAACTTTGGCAACTTGAAGATGGGTGGACTTCAACTCCCAGAATTCCCCAGCCAGCATCCCCAGCCAGGGAATTCTGGGATTTGAAGTCCGGACATCTTAAAGTGGCCAAGGTTGAGAAATACAGCTGTGCTGTGTTTTAGGGTGCACAGTTCTTAGGCTCCATGGCTGGCTGGGGAATTCTAGGAGTTGAAGTCCACCCATCTTCAAGTTGCCAAAGTTGAGAAACGTGGCTCTAGAGCCACGTTCAGCTTCTGCGCTGCGGTTTTTCCAACTCCATCCAGCTGGGGCAACCAGACTCCCGGCTTCTCCTGGCTTGGAACAGGAAGGGGCATCTGTGCTTTGGAGTGGGAGGGGCAGCCATTAAAGAACTCTTGGCTTTTGTCTCTCGCAGGCTGGGACCATCCTGTCCACAGGCATGGGGCTCTTCTGTGGGCCCTTCTATTACCACGCACTAACGGGAGAGCCTGCCTTCACCCACGTGGCACCCTACGGTGGAAGCCTCCTGATCCTTGGCTGGCTGGCCTTGGCTCCCTGACAGCCCCTCCCCAATCTCCACGTTGTCCCCCAGCCCTGGGCGAGCCAGGAGCATCTGCTTTGCCTTTGGACACCTCCCCTCTGCAGGACGGGCCAAGAGGAGCTCCTGCCTGCACGGGGTCGGGGGGGCCTCTGGGCCAAGACTGGAGCGGCTTCTCTTCGGGGCCTGTCCGAAACCTGCGCTGGGGTTGAATTCTCGAAGGGCTGAGGCCTCTCTCTTTTTAATGAAAATCTCAGTTGTTATAATGGATGGAGATTTGTGACGGGAAGGGAACGGATCGCATTAAGCCATGGATGTTGGCTTTGCTAGAATGTACAGTATGATGCAACTTTAATCATTGTTTACATGACTTTAATAAATGAACTTGATTTTACTTATTCAAGCCACATCCACTTTTAGTTGTGAAACTGAGGCAGCCCCAGGTTGAGTAATAGGAGACCCCCAGGCCAGGGGGGTGAGGTGGGGTGGGGTGGGGGGTATCTGTTTCAGCTTCCCCCACCCCCAGTGGAAGGGCTGGGCAGCTGCTGCTGTATTTAAACGGCTTGGATTGCACTGTAGGCCACAGGATGTGGGGTTTGGGATGTGCTGGCTAGGGCTGATGGAAATTGTAGTTCAACTCATCCGTGATTTCAGTGTCAGGTGGGAGATGGCACCCTCTGAAATAGTGTGGCTGTGGATAATGGAATGTGGCAAAACAAGCCTTTATTGCGAAACAACCATGGGCTCTCTGGGAAATTAGATTTAAAATGTTGTATCCCTCCTGTAAAATAGGGTGGTCATAAAAATGCCACAGCTATCGGAGAAGCAATCTGGGTTTTCAGCTAAAGTTCCCAAATGCATCAGTGGACTTTGTGTCCGAGTCATGCGAAAGAGAGCGAGTGAGTCTTGGGGCCGTCCACAGGCAAAACTGCTTCTGGGAACTGTTGCAACCCTGAAGAAACCCTAACGGGAATATTCTGGCAAGCCCCTGAAAACCAGCTGGCCTCAGTGTGGCTGGGCAGAGGGAAGGAAGGCTTGGGTATGCCCCCAAGGCTGAGTTTGGGGTTCACTTTGAGAGGGGCATCAAATCGCCTTTTGTAGATGAATGTAAAAGACTGGATAATGTAAAGGTTAAGAGGACAAAAACTGGCATTTCCAAGTGTGATGTAATAATGCTAAGAGAGGGTGCCCTTTGTGGGTCTGCAGGAGGGACAGCCTTGGGGAGTTTGGTATTTCCCCCTATCCCTCCCCACACCCCAAGAGTTTCTGCAAGATGAAGGAGCACAGCCAGATTCCAGCCGTTGGCCCCTAAAAATAAATAAAAGGTGATTTTTCAACCCTGAGGTGGAGCAAAAGAGATTAGATAGGTGTGTGCAGGTAGGCTGAGGTGGGCACTGCCGGGAAAAGAGGCTCTCCCTGGGCTAGAGCAGCGTTTCTCACCCTTGGCAACTTTGAGAGGTGGACTTCAACTCCCAGCATTCCCCAGCCTGCAAAACACCGGGCTAGTACATAGAATCAAATTTGTTTCGAGGCCCTTTGCACATGCCCCAAGGAGGCTGCGCAGCTCGGGGTTCAGGCGCCTACCTGAGCTTTGGGAGCTGCGTTCGCACAACAGCAGCCCCCTGGGCTGAAGACCAGCGGCCGCCGCCTCACCGCAAGCCCCCGGCTTTAGCGCGGCTCCGGCTGCGGCTCCGCGGGGGCGCTGAGCCCAGCGGGAAGCTCCTGCTCGCGCCCAGAGAGCGGCT